CAAAAACAAATTATATATATTATATTTTATATATTATATTTTGGTGTCTCCTTTTTTTATTATTATTTATGTATTGCTTTATTTGTTTATGTTCATTCTTATTGATATGGGAGAGGAAGAGTTCTTGAATATTTCATGTGCCAGCTTAACTTGGAGGACAACAATAGCAATCAGACAGCATTAACCACCAAAGCTAGTCGTCAATGTTGTGTTCTCCAAGGTCAGTTGTCTCGGTGGGTCTGGAACAAGTGGGATTTTTCAAATCTTTGTGATCCTGACAAACACTTATGGCATACTTTTAAAAAACGTATCATACAGTTGCAAAGTTGAGATAACAACTAAAATTCTGCTTTACCAACAGAACATGCAAATCAATGTTTGGGTGTTTTTAATCTACCAGTAATTCCCCTTTTTGTTTTAGTGTTTTAAAAAAATACGGACCCATTTGGCCCATCATAGCATCCTTGCATGCCCCAAGAGCCCCTTCAGCATTAAGTACATTAAGCACATCAAGAGAAGTGTTCAAAAATGCTGGTTGGCAGCTGGTTCTTCTGTACCTTAAAAAAAACATGAATCCTGCATGAAACACTCCCCCCCAAAAAAGACAAGCAGATGGCAAAAGACTAGTCAACAGTATTGAATGTGTATCCCTGCAGGTGGTCTTACTATGGGGTCTATTCACTAAGCTGCCGTAGGCAGCCGAATGAATGACCGACCTGAGGCCACCAAGGAGAGAAACACTGCTTTTTCTGTTTTTTTCTTTATTCTGACACGAGCGATGTCAGAATAGAAAAAGAAATTTCCCATTGAAAAGCATTGGGACATTCACTGTTCACTGTTGCAGATTTTTCCTCACTTCCTAGCTGATAAAACATTGTCCCCAAAACAGGAAGTGAGGAAAAATCCTTCTAACAGAAATAAAACCTAACAGGGTTCTAAACCTTCCCCACTCTATCCAAAACGAAGAAAAAACATTTTGGCTATAGATAGACTTTATTCTGGCATTGATGCTGCAGGCTAACATTAGCAGCTGCAAGTGTCAGAAGATGCACAAAGAAAGTTCGGTGACAAAACATGTCAATAACTACATGACATAATTTTACCTCTTGCTAAGCACACGACATTAGTGACTAGATAGTAGACATGTGCACTGCCAAAAAATTCGTTTAGTTTCGTTTTAAATTCGGATTTGTGTTATTTCGTTTTTCGGGATTCGGGTGTGAAAGTCAATTCGGATTCGGACGAAATTTGGTAGTGGTAGTTCGAACGTTCGTTTCGTTTTCTGTTCGTTTCTTATTCGTTTCGTTCGTTCGTTTGCAGCAAAGTGACATTTGAGGGGGAAAAAATATTTTTCTCCTTCTCTAATGTCACTTTGCTCCAACGAACGAAACAAAGAAGAAACGAATAAGAACAGCAAACGAAACGAACGTTCGAACTACCGCTACCGAATTTCGGAAATGGAAATTCGGATTCGTTTGCATTCGTTATGTCTGTAATTCGGAATTCGGATACATCCGAATGTCCGAATTTCCGAAAATTCGTCCGAATTTCGATTCGGAACGAAACAAATCGCACATGTCTACTAGATAGAGTTTTTCCCACATCAGATTAGCAGCATGATGAATCAGACACTTTTAGCCACCCACTGACTACTGTACCTCATTATTAGTAAAACAACACTATTTATCCCATACAACTTGATATTAGTGCCCACGAAAGCCAAGTCATGCAGTGTCTATTGTAAATAAAGTGATAATGGGAAGGTGGCTTCAGCTCACCCTCAAAAAAATATCCTACTTTTGTACCCGTGTAGGAAGAGGGCTTTATGAAATAACACTGTAAATCTGAAATATGTATGGTCAGTTACTCTCCTGTATAATACAAGTGGTCACAAATGTTCCTGTATTGCAACAATGGTAAATTCACTCACTCTTCAGAAACATATTAGTAGTCAATCAGTCTCCTGCAGTGGGACATCTGTCACTTAGTCTTCTGTAGCATTGCAACAGCTTCTCATAGTCCCCTATACTGTTGTAATGGTCACTGTCTGTTGTACAGTAGCAGCTGCCAGTAAGTCTCTGATATCAGGTCAGCTGTCCTTTGGGGGAATGACATGACATAGCAGCAATCATATTCATCAACACCTAATTAGCAGTGCTAGAATATTACACAAAGTATGTACAGCCAGAAGGAAACAGAATTACCATATGGCCACAAGTAATATCATACAGTATAGCTTAATTGGCACAATCACAAAAATAAAGATTGACTTAAAGTGACATTAAACCCTCAGATTTTTTTAACATAAACCAATACTGTAATGTGTGCCTTACTGTAATACATGGTTGTTTCCCTTCTCTTTGCTGCTCTTCCTTTTAAATCCTCATGTCTTCTCATGCTTGGGGAGAACTTCCCTTTGCAGCTGACTGCCTCTTCCTGTAGTGCTGGCTCAGGTTGCAAACCTATACACAGACACCATGTATCCATTTCAGAGACAAGGCAGTCTGCTGCAAAACAGAAGTTCTGCAGAGCATGAGAACAGATACAGATTTAAAAGGAAGAGCAGCAAAGAGAAGGGAAACAACCATGGATTACAGTAAGGCACACATTACACTATTGTTTACTTTAAATGCCCTTCTATTTCACAATCTACTTCTTCTTCTTTTTCACGTTCTACTTTATATCTACTGCGCATAATAATTTTCCATTTCTTATTTTCATCCTGTTTCATAACTGCACTGCAGTTTGTTCATTTTAATGCTATGAAAAATTGAGAGTTTTACCCCTTGTGTGGCGCTTATCAGAGGTACGGTGAAATTGCGGAGGAGGGAGGCAGTACTTGATGGGTACACCAGTTAACGCTTGTAGTGTGGTAGGTATAAGTACAGGGGGGGGAGGGGAAACAGGGTGGTGGCGTAGGTGTGCGGCTTCCGTTCTGTCTGGACCGGGGTGTCCAACACGTGTACTGTAGGGAAACAAAAATTGGAGACGGAAGCGCCACTACCTAGCGCAATACCTACTACCTAGCTCCGTCGGGCTGCCCGAAAGCCCCAGCGTGAACCCTTCTCCACTGCGGCTGAACAGTCCGGCACCTTCAACCGCTCTCCAACTCCCCCATCCAGGACAACACATCGCTCTACCGGCCCACAGCACCTACCACTAGAGGACACCTGTGCCAGCACTCCTGAGGACCACCCCAGGGCCCACCGCCGCGGCACCACACCACACCATTGCTGAGAGCCGGCCTCCACTATCCCCTCGGTGAGTCACAGAAGCCCACCCCTTCTTCACCCACCATTGCATACCTCACCCCCTCGCGTTTGTATCCCCATCTGCCTACTGGGTTGAAACGCCACGCCACCCTGAAAAAGAGCGACCACCACCACTCCACCCCATCCGCTTCACTGCAACCCGACGATTACAAGCGAATACTCACCCAGACTCAGGTGAGTACAACACTTACGCTTACACCCCACTCTACCACATTTATTGCGCTAGGTAGTGGTGCTTCCATCTCCAATTTTCATTTTAATGCTATGCAACCTCTTTTATTTAACATTTGCATGATAATTGCATAGATCTTTTTAATATTTAAGACATTGCACGTATTATGCTCTAAGCAATTTACACTTCAGATTTTGCACTGAAAGCCTATAGTTATAGATTTATATTATGCTGTAGTAATAATTGCTTATAAAGTAACGTGACGACCTTGTAGTATCGTTTTTGCAAGTTAGTCAACTTAGGATATATTTAAAAAAAATTAAAAATATAAAATATTAGTTGTGGCTAAATAGCAGCAGTTACTCAAATTCCTGTAGCAGAGCAACAGTTATACTTACATGTTTTAAGCTCAAATTACCTCATCTTCCACACTTCCTTTTTAGCATATATAAAGGTTATAGGACAAAGGATAAAGACCACACCTTTTTATTGCTACAGCCACAAGGCAAAAGCTATAATTTTCTGGTAGCTAGGTTGCCATTTATTGAGCAAGCCATCTCCTTTTTTCCCTATGTACCAGCAATGAAAAAAAATCTCCGGAGTGTTCACTGCTATCAAGAATGCCTTAGTTACTGTAATAATAATGGCTCATTGAAATGTTTTCTTTAGAATTTCATACTTTTTTTGAAAGCTTCTGACAAGTTTTGAAGTAAACACTTTTATTTACCTTCCTTTGAATATGTACAAAAAATATATTTTGTTTTAATGTGTTAGTATTTCATATCTTCAATGCTAAATTCTTTCAAAGATCTGGAACAAATATTTTTTTTTCCAATGTTTCTTTATTAAGGATTTACAAAAGTTTTCTAAAAGTAAAAACCCACTTAACGCAGGTCAAATGTGGTCAATGAATTCTCAGTCATCTCAGAAGCATCTCAAACTGATGCCATCCACACAAGCCCTTATAGAGATTATATTCACTTTACATTTTTTGCTGCATTCCCTCATAAATGTTAGTATATATTATCTCCTAAACCAAAGATAAAAGTTATAAGCAAAAACACTGTACCATAAACAAGGAAATATCTGCCGACCTACCATCCTACAAATGCATAACACAATACCACCCTACCCTGTATGTTATACAGACACCATTGCAGGGGTGACACCAAAATGACTGGCAGTCATTTTGGTGTCACCCCCTCTAAAAAGTCGGGCACTCAGTCCTTCCAACCACCAGCACCCACTTGAACAGTCACGGGAGACCCAGAACATCCCTGGTAAGACCAGCACCCACCTGCACAGCCATGGGGAGGCCTGCACGCAGTCCTGGTAAAACCACACAGCCCTAGTGAGACCCGCACACAGCCCAGGTGACACTACACAGCCCCATTGAGACCCGCACACAGCCCTGGTGACACTGCACATCCCTGGTGAGACTGCACACAGCCCTTTTGAGCAATACAGAGTATGAAGCTTCATATTATTCTGCATTGCTGTAAAATGTATTGTTGGGATTTGTAGTCCCTTGGCAACAGTGGCAGCACTACCATGGTCACATCAGTTGCAGCTCTGACTGAGCCCTGTTGCTTCACCACTGTCCTTAAATCATTAGTCTGTATGGTGTTGAAAAACTGTCACATGACGCTAAAAAAAGGCTTCAGTAAAAAAAATGGTATCAGGGCATCCCTAATTACAAGAGGTTAACAAAATGCCTCATGTAGAACCATGCCCATTTTAAATGAGTGCCCTACCACTAATTCAAGTACATTTTCCACTTACTTCATATTTAAAATATTGGCAACAATGTATTGACCTAGTGATGCAGCATCTCGGAAAGCTCCAACATTACCCAAAGTGTTGGAACGTTGCCTGTAGTAACAGACCCAGCAGAATGATTGGAGACTGCTGCAAGTATGTGCTGGCACCTCCAGATGAAAATCTGATGATTTTTTAATAATGGGTTACATGGATATTTATAAAACAATCTAGTCTTTTGAATTTGGCTCTACCCAAACTCTAGCTCTATCTAAAAAATAACTGCAATGGATTATTTTTACATTTGTTCAAATATAGTGAAGATTCCAACAAGCTTTTTTATTGTGCAAAACAGATTTATGCAAAATCATAATAGTTATTTTGCATTAAAACAACCAACAAGTATCCTCTCTGACTTCTTTCAAATACTGTTCTTGCAGATCTTGCTGATAAAAAGGTATCGACTAGAGGGACTCAGCAAACAGATTAATATTGTTTTGTTAATAAAATAAATTGACTCTGCTGGTGATATTGACTCTGCTGGTGGTGCAGCATGTAAGGTTACTGGGCTACCAAAACAACAGCGTCTGTAGGCTCCCACATGTGAGTTTGATTCTGGGTGTCAGCCGAAAACGCCAAATACTCACTGGTGCTAGAGAGGTCAGCCCTGATCTGATTCACCCCAATACATTTTCCAAGTTGCAGGATGTTGGGGAAATCAGTTCAGGGGGGACTCTGCTGGAGCAGGACGCATCCTCTATCCGGAGGGGGAG